GTTAAACAACTTTAAAATACACTTCTTAAGCAAATGAGAGGATTTATGTTGGAACACAGCAGTGTACAGACAGATCTAAGTGCAGCAGCACAACATAATAAGATAATATGTTATGCTTGTAGTGAGACAATATTTCCTTTAAGTGATTAAGTTAGCACTGGTACTGAGGCTCAAAGAGCACCCAGATGCAACATATTTATATATAGAAAGTGGCATTAATTGGGCCTAAGATTTTCACTGTTTCTGCATTTGTTATAGAGAACTTTGAGCTAATTATGTGTTTACTCCTGTAGGAAATGAGAAATAAGCGAGTCTCCATGTTTCACGTCAGAATATGTTTGTAATTTATTTTTCACCTGCATAAAATTATTAGCTGTAGAAGGTACGATTAATTAAAACTGCATGTGTGGTGTGTATGTGTGCATTGACATTTAGCAGGAAACTGGGCTGTGGTTTATAGGTTTGTCTGAGTTTGAGCAGAGGCATTTACCGTGGGTATGAAGGAAACAGCTTGAATGAAAAATCACTTAAACTGTCTCAAAATATTAGTTTTTAAATTTAGAAAATGGACCTGTAGTATTTGTCTAAAATGTTGTTACTTGTTTTATTTACTACTTAATTACTTATTTTACTTATTTGTCTGTGTCTGTTTTTTGTTAGTTGATTTATATTTTGAGGTTACATTTCTGAATCTATATGCAGCTCCTCCCACAGCTTGTCTCACTGACAGGTTTGTTAGTGTCTCTTATTTTTGTCCCTCAGGTTAGTTGTCATGTCAGCCTTGTACATGTTTACAAGTCTTCATGCTGTCCTTGTGCCAGTTATTCTAGGTTCTTTTTGTAATTAGTGTTTTTGTTTAATAAATATCTTTTTTTCTGAATTATGTTTCTCTGGGTTATGTTATGTTCAAATAATACTCTATTTTATGCACAGTGATTTATGTCAGTGGGTCCTAAAAATTGGAAGGTTGATGGCAGTTCAGTAAATTTACTTCTACGAAGCTCTACAGCAGGGGTTCTTGAGACATAACAACTAATTGTGATAATATTTAGTAGCTTTGCCCCATTTTCTATACCTATTTTGTCCCAAGTAACATTTCCACAACATTCAGGGTAACAACAGAGGTGTCAAAAGTATTCACATTCCTTACTTAAGTAGAAGTTTATACCGTATTTTTCGGACTGTAAGCCGCAACTTTTTTCCTGAACTTTGAACCATGAGGCTTATAGTCCGGTGCGGCTTATACGTGGATTTTTTTCTTCAGCCACCAGGGGSCTCTTATGCTGCATTTGCTTCAACCACTCACTTCAATAAAAGAAAGGAAAAGAAAGAAGAAGAAAAAAGCGATCGCTTCCAGAGCCGACTATTGTACCAGGAAGCAGTGATTTAAAGATAGTGTGGTATATTTTATGTCCTGTCACTTTAAGAAATGTGGACGAGCATCAGACCGTCAGCGCGCCCGACCGGAGCGCGCATGGGGCGGGCACACGCTTCTTTGTTCAGTTTCTCCATATCATCACGCTGTTAAAGACCTATTTCAGATGTCTCGCTCAATAAACATGTGTACAAGCTGAAGAAATCGCCTTTTTTCATTTATATATCAGCCTAAGAGTTTTTTAACCGTCAACAAGTCTACAGAGGGACGTTCGCTGTTTATCCATCGAATCAGCCGGATTCGGCCACCATCTGACGGAGACGAGACGGAAGGTCCACATCGCTGGAGGGCCCCGGAGAACCGGACAAGAACCCCACAGTTTTGGCGTCACGAGATCAGGCCTGTAAAAAGCTTTAAAAGGTTAATATCAAAGTGATGGAGGTTTTTACAGTCGTAAATACTTCTGTTTTATTTGGTTAATACCTTCAGAGCTCAGAGCGGGTCGTGTGCGGGTTTTTTGTCGTCTGCTTAACAGCGTTTGGGGCCCTGTGTTATTGTCTGGATTTCTGTTTGTTTTGCTTTGCGTGTTCAACCCTTGCTAAGCTGTTATTTGCTGACGTGTTTCCGCCACTGAGATTGTGTGTTCTCGGGTGGTTTCTGAGTTAAAAATACGCGTATTTGAAGTAAAATGTGTGTGAGATGCATCTCCGGTTTTAAGTTAGCCGCTACTTTGTAGCTAGCGACACGGGTCAAGCCATAGAGACGTCTTAGCTGCCCGGCTAGCTGCAGGAGGGGGCGGTCACGGAGCAGTCCAGCCTAGTTTTCTTATTTATTTTGCCTGTATAGGAGTAAACGGTGTCAGATYTCTTTTAAGGCCTTAAGAGCTGTGTAAATCCGCTGAAAGAGGACAGTGGAAATGAATAGAAAARAGGTGATGGAAGCTGTGTGGGTATAATGGTAATTTAAAGGGGACACGTCAGGGATTTTCGTTCTAGCAAGGTAGTGCAGGCCTGTGTGTGTGTTTCTGTGCTAAATGTGTGTGTTTCTGTGTTAAATGTGGAGTTTTTCTTGTTTTTCTGTTATTTTTTGTGTATTAATTTGGCGANAATTAAAAGCCTTCAAAATCAGGCTCACCATCATCAGTACCATTAAAAGTTTCTGGTATTCCTCCTCTGTAATAAAGGCATCAGAATCTCACTCAACAACAATCTCATCCTCTGTGTCTCGCGAGCGCCCCCTCTGGTGGGGAAACTTTTTTCAGGAAGACCAACTTTTACAGAACACCGGTAAATGGCAGCCATTACAGACGACCGTGTGTTTGTTGTTGTTCCAGGAGCGGCCTGGTCGRATATTGTTATCATTAGTTCATTATGCAGGACTGCCTTTTTTTCTTTTTTTGGATCTGTTACTATCTCGCTCGGAGGCACAAAGGAGTTTTAGAGGTAAGAACACTTCAACCGCTTTTTACGACGTGGTTTCATTTCCGGACTCATGGATTTTGTGAATGAAGCCGATATTTCAGTTAAAATACATCAGCAAAAATATTTATCTGAGTATAGTACTACCCCCCCCCACCCCAACTTTGTGTATGATTTTTTTGGATTAAATTTTATGTATTATACTTGAATAAATATGGTATGCCAGAATGAATGTTTGTTTGGGGCTTTTCTCCCTGTTGTATTAAAAGTCATTTCAGGGGTGACAGTCACAGGTGCATGGTTACTATTATCACTCTAATGAGCCACTGATAACAGCTTTAATTTTTTTTAATCATGGTTTTATACACCAGAACATGGATATTTGTTATCTCAGATTATTACAAAAGTAGGTCTCAAATTACTTGGATGAGAGACGAAACGTTTCACTAAAGAAGAACCCATCCAGAGGATCTACTTATTTTTTCTTTTTGATTTTTTACTACCTGGATTACTGAGACGCACSAGGACGTCTCAAATTACAGTTACTGTTCATTTTATTTGAATAATCGAAAGTGGAATTTCTTGCAGCAGAAATTTTAAATTTGGCTTTAATACTTTGAAATGACCCAATGGCAAATGATGGGAAACAACCATCTACGATTCACTCAAACAAGTAAAAAAAATGAAGGAAAAAAACCCTGTCAGAACTGTGTTAACAGTTGGAGCAGGGTTTTTGCCTGTCAACATTAAAACAAAAAGCTTTTTGTCAAACAGGGACAGCAACACTGCACTCAGATCTACGGTGTGTTAAACACCGAGGTCCTGCAGAGATGTAGGCAGCRGAAGTGGTGTCATCATTGATCTGGTTGCTGTTAAGCTGCGCTGACACCTGCACGAATCCATTGGACATGGAGCCCGGAGAAAGCAATCTGGCTCGACCAGACAAGCTCCTCACTTTTACAGAGGTGACGGAAGTGAGGCCAAAAACKTAAAAAAAATCCCATGTAGATGGGAGGGGGTGGACTAACAGACCATGAAGTTTACTTTGTTACTTGGACTTCTCTAATGTGACTGTACCTTATGATATATTTCTAATTCTTCAAATCAACACATTTTAAAAAAAACAGTGTAAAAATTAAACTATCAAGGGGTGCTTTAAAAAGAAAAAAGTCTACTTCAAATAATTAAAAAAACTGCTTATTAAAATGTTTCTGATTGGCCTCTAAAATACAATATTTGACTCTGTCCTGTAAACGTTTCATGCTTCATAAAACATTTCCCTAATGTGGCGTCATTTATCTAAGAATGGCACATTAAGCAGCCATTTTCTCCCGGTCTCTGCGAGTATCGTCTTTACTGATAATGGGAAAAGATTATGCACATTCATTACCATTATCATTACAATCATTATTGTGTGCTTAGCATAATAAGCTGTTTCTCTTAAGCTTTTTTTTTTTCTATGACTGCAGGTTGACTCTGAAGGCTGCTTCAAAACCATTAAAACAGCTTTCATTTGGGAGTCTTTGTGGCTTTAGTGTAACATATTTAATCTGACATAAACTAATCCCTGATCAACACAAGAGCCAGCGGTGAATAGGTTAATTCTGAGCGGCAGTGAGAACAATTCATCCACTGCTGCTGGTTAATCCACTTTTAAAATGAAGAAAAATGTAAATTATTTCAAATTTCCCACTAATTTTTCCTTTTCTTTTCTGCATTCTACTTTTGCAATAAATCAATTGAACTGGGTGACGACTGCTGTCTCATGATCTGGGACTTTGTATCTTGGTAATTACGTAGTAATCAGGTGCAATGTGTGCACAGCTGATGGTGACGGCGGTGCCTTCAGAGCCACAGGGACACAAACAGAGTCGTGGAAAAATAAAATAATATTCCAAGTAAGATGAGCTGTTTACAGAATGATCTCGGGTCACAAATCAAAAAATCTCAYAGGCAGAGAGAGACAGAGGAGAGTAAATGCTGGAGAAAAAGGGTGAATATAGGAGGGAAAGGGTTTTATAGTGGCTCTACAAYCAAAACAATGTCTATTTTGACATTTTTACTGTACAAGTGACAAAAACTCATTTCATAYTTTATACTTTTCATATCTTTAAGCAAGTATTTTGTCATAGCTTGTTCATCCGTGTACACAATTCCTCCACACAGGTGGGTTTTCACACTCACATGAAAGAAAGTTTCTGCCTTACCTGGAACTGTGACGTAAAGAGAGCTCCTTCTGCAGGCACAGGGGAGTTGGGTGGCTCAGCTTGTATCCTTAGGCTCAGGGTTTCAACAACTAAGCCCGTGCCTCCTCTGAGGCTTCTTATAACGGCATACCCCTTCCCTACTGGCTCAGCCCTCCAGGCCCCCCCCTTCCCTCACCTCCCCTCCCATCTCTAAGTGTATCACCATTCATATCACAGGAGAGAGCTGAGAAAAGAGGTGGATTCCCCCATTCTGTTACGCACAAACGATGGGCGAACCGGTGGCCCGCACTGACGTAAGAGGCTTTGCCTACGCCACCCATTTCGTCCTCATTTAGCCAACTAATGGGGCTATAAAAATACGCAWCACCCACTGTGGGATTGATCTAGAAGCCTTCTTTGAAGGTGTTCATGAAACCCAACCCCATCACAGAGCTAATGTTAAGGTCAAGAAGACAATTGAGCTTCCAATCAGATGTTTTCTCCAAAAACTCCAGGTGAGCACCAGTAATCAAAGCAGTGCCATGGAGACGATTACAGGTCGATGAGGTTGTTCTTGTTGGAAAAGGTTAAAGCAACAAGCTTTTTTGTCACGTATAACAATGACACACCTGTATGAGAGGTGATATTATCTCATTGAACGAGACAATGAACGTGTGATGTCGATAGAAAGATCACGCAGGCAGTATGATGACAGGTTAGTCAGACAGGATGAATTTTCAGTGATCATTGTTGGGCACTAAATTACCACACACAAAATTTGCTGCCACAAATTTGAAAAATCATCCTTAGGTTAAAAGATACCTTTTTATTATWGGAACTTTAAACACGTGTAAGAGAAAATAAGACCCTGTTTAAATAATAAAATAATGTTTTAGGTGACATTTTGTTCTGTTCACTCAATGTGTGAAAAACTGTATATGACTTTGATGACAATACAATTATGTTTTCTTGTTTGGAGCAAGAAATTAAATCAGAACTTTGATCACAATCTTTTTGAYCACAGGAATAGTTAAAGAAATAAGAAAACAGATCCATGTGTCATGCCTTCAGTTACAAAGGAGGCACCTTTCTGGGTATGCTGCATGATGTCTGCCCAGGGATTTTACAGCGTCCCTCAAAGGTAAAAGCGAGACACAAACCCAGTGGGCTAATATAAATTAGTGGTGCRCCCAGAAATTTTTCATATGGGTGGCCAGATGGGGCCAGTTAAAATTTAAGGGAGGCACACCACTGCAAAAACTGTCCATCTTACCAAGTTTTAAAACCTTATATCCAACCAAAACGTCTTTTTGATCTTGTTTTGAGACTGATTTACTAAACAAGAACTGATTGTGTAACAATAATCATCTTGTTTTCAGAATGTGTAAGATTATTTGTCTTGTTAGCCTGAAAATTTGACTCAAATTAAGTCAAAAATTTCTGCCAAAGGAGCAAGAAAATTTTACTTGGTAAGATTCTTGAAATAAGAAAAAACTGAGTCAAATCAAGTATTTCAAGAATCTTACCAAGTAAAATTTTCTTACTCCACTGGCAGAAATTTTTGACTTAATTTGAGTCAAATTTTCAGACTAACAAGACAAATAATCTTAGACATTCTGAAAACAAGATGATTATTATTACACAGTTGTTTAGTAAATCTGTCTCAAAACAAGATCAAAAAGACTTTTTGGCTGATATAAGATTTTAAAACTTGGTTAGGTGGACATTTTTTGCAGTGTACCAGCTTGTACTCCATCCATTTTCTATACCTGCTTCTTCCTTTCAGGGTCACTGGCGCCCATATCAGCAGTCACAGTGCGAGGGACAGGCACGCCCTGGACAGGTCCATCACAATAATAGCTTGTACTATTTAATAATTTGAAAAATTCTGAATAAACAACAGTAACAGAATAAAACATAAATGCATTATGTAATGATGTAAACCTAAAAACACAACAGACTGGATTTGCAATGTGGATTTTTTTTAACTCTTCTTTGAACATAAAGTAAAATCACTACAGTGTAATTACTGAGAGTTACTGTTAGAAGTGGAAATGCATCATAAGCAGAATGATGTTTGCAATGTTTAAAATAAATCTTGATGTTTCTGTGATGGACTTGTGAATTGTTTAAACCAGTGTTTCCCAAAGTTGGGGTCAGGACCCAAAGTGGGGTCCCGAAACATCAAGGTGGGGTCCGGAA